GCCAGTACCCATAGATGGCACTAGAGATTTGGAGATCTGGCTGCCACGGGGTGTTCCAGGGTTGAGAGAGCCAGGACAGAAGGCAGGAGGGAGGGGCGAGCCACTGTCTTTTGTGACTGATCAAAGTCAAAAGCAGAGATGAGACCATGCTGGTGACTCTAGACAGGAGAGGCTCCTACCCACTGGCAACCATTCCTGGTGGTAAGAGCAAAGGGTGAGATGGAGAATGCATAGTTGGTGGGAGCCGGGCAAGAGTGAGAGGGCGGAGAAAGGAGGGAAGAGGAAGAGCAGGCAGGAAGGGTGAAGAGCAGGAAGAGGGTGGAGATAGCAGGGCTATGATGAGGGAATGGGAAGAGGACCACTGAGGCCATGGATGGGGGTGCGGGTCGTTAGGGATGAGAAGAGCTTACCCAGAAGGGCAGTGCAGAGGAGCCATTTTGGCAGAAGGGGGCCATAAGCACAGAGGGGAGGAGGTCCAGGCAAAGGCAGGCCGGTTGTGAAGAAGGCCACGCCCCCATCATTCCCCGTAGGACTCAGAGACACATACCATTCCTTTAGGATCTTTTATTAACGTATAGAAAATGTGTTTAAAAAAGGAACTATACAGAGGCTAAAAGCAACCAGGACTAAAAATACTAGTTAACAATGGTTAACAAGCAGAGATTCCAGTCTTTGAGCTACAGTGCCATGAAAGGGTGGGGCAGATTGGTTTTCCCTCTCCCTTGCTCTGTGTGGTTTTATTTTAGGTCATCAAAATGTGCATCACCTGAGGAGTTTGTACTCTTTTTTTCTTCTTGTTTTCTCCTTCCTTTAGACCTCGTTTAAAGTAAGTGCTTTTTCAAGTACATTGTAGCTACAAAGTCAGTCTTTGTTATTATTATTATTTTTTACCTGAAAGGCTGTTAAAGGTTAAAACGACAAACTCAAATTCAGAGGGACGGGAGGATTTGGTGTTTATGAGTTCTCAGAACAACAATCTAGATTCCACCAGGGTGAGTTTTCAGCTGCCTGGAGCTCCAGGTACTGACCTCCCTTAAAGTCACAGGACTTGTATAGGGTACCTGGGAATTCGTGTGGGCCTGGAGGGAATTAGGTTGGAAAAACTGAAAGGGTATAAATGACAGGCGGAGCCTACAGATTAAGAACAGACTCAGAGAGATTCTGAACCTTAGAGGTTTGTGAGAGCCTGGTCTGGGGCTAGGCCTCAGAGGGGACAGGTGGGAAGGGGTTGGTACAGGAGTGTTCAGTGGACTGACATTTTTGCAAGACTCTTGGCGCCTGCTGTGTCTCACATATGGTTGTCACCACTGTCCAAGCAACCCCTGCCCTGGAAAGGGACCACAGAAGGCAGAGTTTCCTCGTGGGAATATTCATTCTTCTTTGTATAAGCACTGTTTAACAACAAGCAAAAGAGGGTCACTTCTGAAATTTTGGCCTGGCAGCAGAGCCACCAAGTTACTGGGTAAGGATTGCTTTCTAAATCCCCCAAAGTAGCAAAGACACCCGAGACTGCGGCCAGCTGTTCTCACCGTGTCCACTGGGGATGTAAAGCAGGTGATGAGTGGGGCAAAGGAAACCAGGGCACAAATAAAAATAGTTTCTTTCCTGTCTTCCCCTGGCTTCATTTTTCAAAACATTTCCCAGAGATGCCTGTGCAGGGCCCCCTGAAGGTGTCTGTGTCTCTGGGAGTCTGGGAAGGGCTAGTCCAGATTTCTCGCAACTTGCTGATTTTGGCCTGAAAATTCGTGAGGTTTCTGCATTTGCCAACCAAACTTCCTGGTTTGAGTGTGTTCATGATATAAAATTTTCTTCCTGAATTCTAGAGTATATCAGTGCTCCAGGTGCTTGAGCCATGTTCATTCTGGGATTTCTCCCTCCTAGTCTTATCTATACTCAAGCCCCAGCTTGAGCAGCATGACTCTGGAAATCCCCACTCTCCCTATGTCAGAAAAGAGAGTCCTATGTTTCCATTAGAATGAAGTGGGAGAAACTGCGTTTGTGTCCTGGTCTTTATCTTTTTCTCCAAGCCTGTGGAGGACCCTTTCTTCTACCTCTCCAATTAAAAGAAAGAAAAAGAAAGAGCTGTCTGGATGTTTCTTACTTTTCCCAAAGGTGAAGTTGAGAGTTCCAGAATATGTGACCAAAGCAATGCAAGAATTCCCCTTTCTTGGGGCTGGGGATTTAGCTCAGCAGCACAGCTCCTGCCTGGCAAGCGCAAGGTGATGAGTTCGATTCCTGGTACCAGAAAAAAAAAACCAAAAAAAAAAAAAGAATTCCCCTTTCTTAAAGGAAAGAAAAAAGAGTGGCCCCAGAGGTGCCTTTGTGAGAACAGTGATAAAATCCAAGATATATTCACATGGCTTAATAAATACACGCAGAGGCAGCTTCATAAGTAGAAAAATCAAGGGATTTTGAATTAGGTAAAGAGATTCTAGGGCTGTCTTTAGTGGCTGTGTGACTTTGGGGTTGTCGCTGAAACTTTCTGTGCCTGCATTCTCTTTTCTGTTAAATGGTTAAATCTATGGTAAAGATTTAGTAAAATATGTTAAGCCGTTGGCACAGTATCTGGCAAGCAGTAGGTATACCATTGTACTATTTTTCCCAATCTTTCTCTAGAAGAAAAACAAATTAAAAGCTTACACCAGATCTGACCTTAGCCCCATTATTCATTGGCTGTGTGAAGCTGGGCAAGCTGCCTGTCCTGTCTTGGCCTCAGTTTACCTGAATTTGAAGTCAGGGCATTCTGTTCAGTGATCTCTAGAATTCCCTCTGGCTTGAAGGTTTGTTCCCAATGTTTGCCTCAGGGCCAGGAACAGATTAGTGTTCAGTGATGGGATGTTAAAAAAACATCACAGGGTTTCCCTGAGGGCTGCTAAATCAGCCAGAGAAAGAACGCAGTTCTCATCCGTGCATTCATTCACCGGCTGGCCTTGCACCTGGCCTGAGACTTAGGTGGCCCAGCTCTCCTGGGTGCACCGCTACTTTCTGGAGAAAGATACTGGCACTTCCTCACCTGTGCCCATGGTGCCATTGCCCAAGAGAGCTAACCTGGGCTGAAGGGTTAAGTGTTTCTGAACTGGGAATTTACCTCTAACCCAGCTCTCAGCCCAGGCAATAGGGGCTGTTTTATTACGTTAGTAGAGCGGGCCAAGTTTGTCTGAGGAACAAGAGCTCTGCTATTTGGATGCTCTGCAATAGCCTTATTAAGCTTGGGGAAGGAGGGAGGATTTCCTGTTTGGAAAAAATGCAACACTGTCCAAGGATCTTGAAGTTTGCCAAGGACATTTGGACAATGAAGTGCTGCAGGTGCAATGAAGTCATGTTTCAGGCCAGGCGTGACCTTGAAAAGTAAATCAGAAATGCTAGAGAGGACAAGTCAGGCTGTGACCACTGGCGGTGAAAAAGGGTGGCCCAGGCAGGATGGGCTGAACAAACAAAAGTCCCTTGGCTTCTTGTTTGGTACAGGAGGGCCTCTCTGGTGCCTTCATTTTTCCTTGGGGAAATGGGCAATGGATAGGCGCTCTGGTTGAGGCAGGAGGCCAGCGCTCAAGAAATAAACCTGGTACATTTGTTACGGCCACTCACACCTGATCTCGGCTTTCTTACTGTGGGAATGTTTGTAGAAGGCTTCCTTTTAATCTGCGATGATCCATCTGCTTCTTCTTTTGTTTAATTTTTAATTTTATTCTTCTTCCTAGCTGTTTTTCAAAGCTGAAGAATACAGGACTAGCTTAAGCAAAGCCAGTGTGGTTACAGTTAGCATGAACTGGAGTCATTGCTTCCAAATGGATCTCAAGCCACACCAATAAATTGGAATAAATACTAGAGTTATTTTCCATACTTGCTTTTGGAAGTTTTCATTTCATCTGTGAGCTCTCATTTGGCCTGGTGGTGTCAACATGCTCCAGCGTTACTGAGGAGGAGAACACTCACACACATAGGACGGGCTGGGTTAAGGAAGGTGCAAAGGTGTGGAGAAGGAGTTAACCAGAGATCCACAGGAATGTGATCAAAGGACCTGCAGCCTGCAGCTAGAGAGGGGCAGCCCCTGGAAGCCAGGCCTGTGACTCACACTTCCGCAGAAGACAGAACATCTCTGTCATCATCGCCGGCCTTAAACAGGGGAAGGGGATGGAAAAAAAAGTGGTAGCAAGACATAGCATGTCCAGGTACAACTTTCCTATAATGAATGTGATCCATACGCATATCTAAATTGTGCCGGTAAACTTAACAAAAGAAAGAAAAAGGGACCACGTAGGAAGATTAGGCAGGGTGGAGATGCAGCCTTGATGAATCTGGATGAGAAGCAGATCAACAAAACTTATAGAGGTCACCAAGACCCTTCTTATAGCCATGGCAAATTTGAGGCAAGTGTGAAAACAAGTGATCCTACCTCTTGTGGGATTATTGAAATTGAACTGGGCTTCAGTCTTTTCAAGTTCCCTTATCAAAATTTTAAGAGTGGACAGCGAAATGCAAATAGAGCTGGAAAGTGATTCCTCCACACCCCCCCCCCCCCCCCCCCCCCCCCGCTGCTTTGGAAGGAAAGAAATGGAACTACGGAATTAGAATGAATAGGAGTTCAGGGATAAGAAAGCAAGGAACAGAAGATCACACAGCCTGGGTAAGCGGTCTCTTCTTTCCTGAAATTCTGGGTGGAGGGAGGAAGGGAGAGAGGGAGCTGGGGAGGGAAGGAGGAAGTGAAGGGGGAGGGCCAGGGAGAGACAGGTCCATGCCCAGCAGCATTTGTAAATCCCAGACACTAGCCAGTCTCTTCAAGCCCCGACGCTGGTGTATCCACTGTTCTCGCAGGTTCCATTTTTATTTCTCCAGAGAAGAGGACAGAGAGGAACTCAGACCCTTTCTCAATGGATGCTTTAAGAACAGGTCTTTAAAATATTCTATAATGACCTTTGTCCCTTAATTTATAGCTCTGCTCTTGGACTCGATATTAAAAGTAAAAACGTGTTTAGGATTGCTTGGTTTGGCATGGGACTCACCGGTAACCGTGGTCCTTTGAGCTTGACTTTGAAACAGCAGTTTGTAGTGCACAGGGAGCTAGGCGGTTCCCATGGAGAAGGAGCAAGGTGTCTGACGGTCATCACTTCATGAGTAGTGGAGTTGGGTTGGTGGTAGGTGTCTGTACTGTTCATTTAAAGCTTCATGGAAGTTTACTCTTCATCTCTTTGCTGTTCTTTTACATCTGTCCATTTTACAGCTTTATCTCCCATACAGATCAGTCCTGATTCTTTGTTTGCAACAAGGTCTCCTAGAAACCAGGAGAGGCCAGCTGTTGTTTCCCCTGGGTCTCTGGAGGCGTTGTGTGCGCCACCTTGTGGTCGCTTTTAGTAAGTCCCCTCTGCATTTATTAAATCTGTCCTAAGGGCCACCACTCCCCTAAACATTGTCCTTCCTGATTCCCCACCTTTACAACTGACTCCTTTCTCCAGAAGCAACCATGGAGAATATGAATTGGATACATTGGAAACAATCCTCATGTGATAGGCAACACAAAAAGGATAAACTGCTTGGGCCTGGCAGTGAGTCTACTCACTGGAAGTTGGTTTTGATCTTTTGGGTACTGTTGTTTTGTTGGTATAAGTATACATTCCAATATGTCTTCATCAGACTGCCTTTATGGCAGGCTCCGCTGCTTTTCCTTCCCAGTCGCTATGGGCCCCTTTGGTGTCCTTGCATCTCTCTGACATCCTCCCCTGGGAAAGCACAGGTGCTTGCAGGGACAGAGTAAGGGAGCATCATCTAAGAAGCTCAGTGTAGAAGTGAGTGCCTCTGGTTAAGACGCTTTGAGTCAACTTGACCATGGGTCTTGGCAAGACAGAAGACCAGTCTCCTAAAAATAGCTTAAAAAAGGAAAAAACAACAGCAACAAAAACAACAAAAAACACCTCAGGAGAAAAGTACTTCACCTAACAAAAAGAAGCTACAATCTTTTTATAGAGTGTTGGGTGAGCTGATCTTTGAAGTTCCTTTCTTGCTTTAAAATGCTCTAAAATGCAACTAGCGAATGTTGCTGATACTATTTATAAAAATGCTCCACGGGGTAAAATGGTTCCAGGGAAAGGCAGGCTTTGGTTTCCACTGATGTTTCTTGACTTTCACCTGAACTGATGGCATCCAATTGTGTTCTGTTTCAGTTCTGTTGATGAGGCGGGCTGTCCTAGCACACTCAGGTCCCTGGCACGGTTCAGCCTCTTACTTGGCATTGTCTTTTCTGGTGTGTGTGTGTGTGTGTGTGTGTGTGTGTGTGTTACTTCTGACTTTTGAATCAATTTCACTTTCCCTCCTTCTTTCCTTCTGTTCTTTCCACATATGACCTAATTGAGTTCTCTCATGAATGCACATTTCTATTCAGATTTTCATTTCATGGACCAGCATTACTGATGTTAAAACTGAAGGAGAAATTAGAATTATTTTGGTCTAATCTCTCACCCAAAAGGCAAGGATACTGAGGCCAAGAGAGGAGAAATGACCGCCCAAAGTCACACAGCTGCATAACAGTGGAGTTCCTCATTCAGTACGCTTCCTTCTTTTCACGCTTGTCCCAGTCTCTAGCTAAACCTTATTTAATCTACAGGCTTCTCTTTCTTCTTCTTTTTTCTAGTTGTTTTGAAGACTACTGTGAACTGAAAAATAAAAGGGCCGCCTACTCCTTTCGATCCAGGCATGTGGTAGATGAAGTCTTTCTGGAAACTACTAAAGAGAGGGTCCCTAAGAACATGGCAGGCTGATTGTATCCTCACACCCCCAAAAGCACAATTGACAGTCTAAGGGGCTATCCCTTCTTGGTGTTAAAGCTTGTTCAGAGGGTGGATGTTTCTATGAGGAAATCACCAATCTCAGGCTTGTCTAGTCACTGGTTGGCAAAGGCACAGGTGCCCCAGTTTGGCAAACACGGTCCCTACAGGAAATAGAACAGGAGTCCTGGGGAGTGGGAGAAGAAAGGGAAGCGGTAGGTGCGGGCCCTGGGCTTGAATCCGGACAGTTCCTGCAGGATGGTTGCAGCTGGCATTTGATTTGGAGGAGAAGTTGAAAGGTCACGGGCTTAAAAATCCAATCATGCGCCGGTGGAGACAGCACATCTCATAACACGGGGGACAGACCCACAGGCCTCCCCCTTTCACCTTTGGGTTTCTAGATGTAATTTCCTCCAGCACTTTTCATTTTCCCTTTCGAAAGCAGAATAATAAAAGAAGATGGAGAAAGGCTTCTCATGATCTCACCTCATTAAAGGGTCATTTCTGTTTCCCACAGGACCAAATTTTTTTTTAAAAAACCCCAAAGCAAATATTCCATCTCTGCCCAGGACTATTAATAAGAAAATGGATTGCTGGTCATATAACTTCTTCTTCTGACTCTTATTACGCCACATACACCAAGAAGAGTCTGGCTGATGACAGAAATAAGGCCTTTAGTTTGCAAGTTCAGGAAAATAACCCATGACAAAGCAGAACAGTAATGGTAAAAATGGAACCAGGCAAGATCTCTGTTTTCCATGGGACTTGTAATCTCTGTGGCAGGTGCCCTTATTTCCGCTGCTTCTGTCTTTCCCTCAGAGCTTGACCCTGAGTGCTACCGACATCTTCCTCTCCCACCCCCAAGAAAGTTACTGTCTGACTGCCCTGAGGGAGGGGAAGCGGCTTGAGACCCACAAGGACGAAGAAACCCCTGTATAACCCAGGTCTGGCAGCAGGCAACATCCTGGGAACTAGATTTCAGAACAGCATAGGGGCGATGAGATTGTAGGCTCTAAGGTACAATGAAATTAGACAAAGGTTAGAGCATGGCTGGAAAAAAGGCCACTGCTCTGGGAAGGTACGAATGTCAGAAACGAGAACTTTGGCCCAGTCCAAAGGACGTGGGCCATTGCGACAGGGTGTGGTCGATTTTTTCCCTCTCTGGGGTGTTGTTAGCTGGATTCTTTTGCTAAGACTTGTTCTCTGAGCTTGTGTGACTACCTGATCATCAAGGGCTATGACCAGATTAGCGACACCTGGAAGGCAGAGGCATCTCGAGAGGGTAGAAAAGAGAAGGTGTGCACCTATCACCCTAACAATTGTACTCCATGACTTGTCTTTGAATCAGTTATTTAAGCGAATGTCCCATTTTTCCTCCTTGGCGGGAAAGGAGGGGAATGTTAGGGATGACAGGCTAGGAGGGAGAGTGCAGTGTTGGGGCCAGGATCCCAGCAGCGGAAGCTACAGCGGACAGTAATCAGCTGACCGCTGCTACAGCCCTGCTTCCTTCAGATACCCTTCACGTGTTGCAAAGCACATTGCTATCACCCTCCCCCCTTGTATAATATTATAAAATACAAACAAAGGACAGAAAAATCGTTTGGCTTGCGACTGCCCGCTGCTCAGAACTGCAAGGCCCGCCGTTTCCTTCCTGACGAGAGGCGGTGGTTATAGGGTCGCATCTTCATTTCCACAAAGGGGATGGAGAACTCGTGGCCTTTCCAGTGGTACCAGTTGATCCCCTGGGCATGAGACAGATAAACATATCAGCCCACTCTTCCCTGTCCTTGGGACACCCTACTTGAAAGGAAGGGAAGTGATGCGAATAGGCAACCAAGACGTAGGTTTCACCACTTTAGTTAGCAAGTAGCTTCATGGCTGAGTCCCCATTAAAGGGAAAGGAGCAGAGTCTTTGTCTGGCTTTCCCCCCAAATGTTCCTGTGTCCTGGATCTTTATTGCAGGTCCCTCCTCATCGCCAGTTGCGTGTTTTTGGCGTTCAGGAATTGTGCATGAAGAGAACATTTGCTCACCCTGATGGGAGACTCAGGTGGTCTCTCCCTGGGGGGACTGACCAGCTGGTTTTGCCCAGAGCTGAGGACTTTCCCTAAGGCCTTTCGGTGTCAAAGCCAGGAAAGTTTCAGTTGGTCCAGCTGGCTCCCTGTTATCCAGCCTCGCCTGTGGACTTGCAGTCTGGGCAAAGACAGTCCAGCTCACGGGCATTTCTGATATCTCTGCCTGGGGCCCTTAGGATGAAGTGGAGCCTTTGAAGCTGTTTCTAAAATTGATAAGCTCTTCCCATGAGGAAACAGAAAGGAAGCTGTCTGGTCATCAAGGGCTGTCCTAGTGAGTCCTTGCGCCTTCCCAGAGGAAAGGAAGGAGTGCCTGGACCTTCCTTTGGTTTCTACTCTACGCGGTCCCTATCCCAGTATCTGTTTCACTTTTCTTTTTATAATAATAATCTTTTCCAAGAATCTAAATATTTCTTTTGAAAGAGAAATGTAGGACCCACATGTGCATTGAAATCAAGCTGGGGCCATGGGTGCTGAGCTCTGAGTCACTCCCAGCGCAGCAGACTGCCACCTACCTGGCTGTGCCTGGATTCCCCGTACTTCCCATTGAGGTTGGTCCGGTGGCAGTTCTTATACCACCAAGCGCCCTTGTATGACATGGCACAGTTAGTAACAGCAATATCATTGTCCCTGTCCTCCGTGGAGAAAGGCCGTCCCTGGTGATAGCTGAGGGAGTCTCCTGCAAAAAAGAACATGCGTGAAGCTGTGCTATTTCCCTGTCCTTCCAGGACTTTTTGGACATTTGACTACTCTCAGGGAACCTGGGTTCAACACGCGGAACCTTTGCCTATTCTCCTGCTCCCACTCAATCCCTTGCCTGGCTGTTTCTCTACTTTATCCCCAGTGTCACTACCTCAGGCTTCTCTCTCCAACTGCTCCTCATCCCATGACCTTTTGCCCAGAATCCTGTCCACACAGTCCCATGTCAACCTCCTGTCTTTTTCCTCCAGGCCTGGGTGGGGACACAGAACACCCATGGTCCCATTTGCCTCAGGGCTGAGCCAAGCTGACTGGGACCCTTCAGGTTTGGCCTGGCTTTCACCAGTCCCGATCAGACCATATCCTGAAACCCACATTCAGAACTTGGTGGTGCCTGTGAGGAGGGACACTATCAAATTACATTTCCATTCTATGGGGAAAAGGGGTAAAGAAAAAAATCACCTATGTCAAAGGAGAATGGGCTTGGAAATGGGCTGCATCTTGAGAAAGCAAGGGTTCATGGCTACTCTCATGGAATACCTGAGGGACTATTAAAGAAAGCATTAATAAACTCTGGAGAGGTGTGAGGATTGGTATGTAGAGACTGTTAAGAGAAATATTTTGGCAAGGAGGGTAAAAAATCACCTAAATATTAGAGCTGTTTTCAAGTGGTAGATGTTGCTGAGAACCATGGTGAGATTTCTGTTCTCAGAGGCAAACAGGCCTGGTGCTGTCCCTGCTGAGAATACTGCACAGGAAGCTTGTATGAATGGAGCATTTAAGGTAAAGGATTAGGCCATCGTTCCTTTATAAGGACCAGTGCAACTTGTGGCAGGATTTTTGGCTAGGGATATAGTGACAGGGGCTCATGCTATTTATTAAAGTGACTTTGAACGTGTCTGAGGTTATTTTGTGCTAGAGGAGACCTAGTTCTGGTTAGCTGGTTTTGGAGTTCTGACCACAGTGGCCGCTCAGTTCCTCCAGCTCATGGACCACAGCTCAACCCTTGGCTGGTCAGTCATCATTTTATAGGGAAATCTGACCCCTGGGCCCCTAAGGGAGCAATCGTTGTACGTCTTCCGTTCTCTTCATCTTCTCCTTCTGGTCTCCAGGATTCAGATTTTTTCTCCATCTAGAACTAATCCTACCCTCTGCACCTCATTCTCCACTTTTCCCCATCCTGGAAAAGACAGAAATGATTTCTTACCCTTCCCCTATTTAAAAATACAAAACACTTTCACCTCCTCTTTGCTTTAACTCATGTTTACATCCGTTATGTTACAGATTCTTGGGTTAATCCTGCTCTCTAGTAACACTTCCTTTAACCACCAGTTCCTTACTGTGCTATCTCCACTCCCACATTCCCATCTTCTCCTCCCTGCTTATCCCTCTGTGGTCTGGAGTTTGTCCTCAGTGCTCTCCTGGAGCGAGTCTCTCCAGTTCCCACTTAGATACTGCCTGCTGCTGTCTTCGTGCCCTCCTTCCCCATGGCTGCCTCACCTATTCAGCACGTTTTCACCAAGTCCTTGTTTCTTCTTGTTGAACCACATTCAGATTTACCTCTTTCTCCTAATCCCCGCATGAGTCAAGGCTCCTATTTTCCCCTTTCAGGATCAGTGTAGCAGCCAACACCTAGTTCTTCTGTTCTCTCAGATTTACTTCATCCTATTTAGGGCTGTCCCACTGCTCTTCCTCAAACCCCACTTCTACTGTAGCCCTCAGCCCTTACAAGGGCACCTCTTGCCCACCACGCTAAGACTGACTTTCTCTGCTCTCTCAGGCTGAAGGCTTGTCAGGCTCTGGCTCCCCCTCCTCCACCAACTTCTTCCATTCCTCTGAGCTTCTACTCTGCTTGGGACAGGCACACCTGTCACAGCCTCCTCCTTTCAGAGGAGCTCCTCCTTCTGCTGCTGCTCATCAGGGGATGCTGTCCTCACCGCTTGGGTCTGTCAAATGCAGTTGCCATGATGGTGCCTTCCTCAACTGCCAGACCCCCTTCTCCAAGTATCTCTTAAACAGAGTGAGTACTATTTATTGTGTAGTGACTTCCTAACTGTTTTTTTTTTTTTTTTAACTACTGGTTTAGTTCTTAAAAGGCCACATTGTGTGTTTTTTTGAGTCCCCACAACTCACACAGTAACCCTTTAGGACTTGCTCAACAACCTCTTATTGATAACCCGATTTGGAATGTTCAGTTCTAACTCAAGTACAGTCCTACCTAGAGACTTGCCTTGAGAAAGGGGAGTAGAAGCAGGAGTTGAACGAGACTGGAGGGCCTGGGATAGTGTCCTGCTAGTGGGGCCAGTAATTCTTCAGCAAGAAGTAAAGATAAGGGCCAGGGAACTGGGTAATATTAAAAATGCCAGACAGAGAAGGGGCCAGTCCTCCCTGGAAATCCGCTGGTCTAGAAAGAACCACCACTGTATGGAGCTGCCTAGAGAGGGATGAAGCCTAAATAGGCTGACTTTTTAATCTCCTGATGCACTAAACATTCAAGATGAAGAAGAATCATAATCAACGTTTAATGCCCAGCCACGATCTCGGGAGAATTTGCCTCTGACACATACGAGTTAAATTCAGCCCCACAGTTCTGCGTTCTGTGGGGACTTGCAGGGGGCAGGGCTAGAACAGAGGTAGCAGGGCCAGGCCTCATCTAGATAAAACATGGGCTTGGGGTGGGAGGAAGAAGAGGGAAGAAGAGGAAAATGCAGGGAAGAGGGAGCGTTTGCTCCTTTTCCTGTAGGAGAAATAAGAATGGCTTTTCCACAGGCACAATTCTAATGCTGGTGAGTGAATAGCATCTGGTTATTTTTGAAATATAGTCTGATATCTTGTTTAGTGCGTCCATTTGAATAGCTATTTTATGCTCAAAAAGTGACAAATTGGACCTTTTGTTGGGCTCCTCAGGCTCATCTGATTGCCATTGCTAATGATCTCCAGTACGAACAATGACAGAGAGAGTGTGTCTTTTAAGTAACAATACTGGGCTGAGAAGAGAAATAATTGAGCAGATGCGGTCATTGGAGGGGCAACCCCTTGAACGCTCTTCTTAATTCCAAGAGGTATCAGAATGTTGCTAAATTTAAACACCAGTCCTTAGCCCTAAAATTGGAGTTAATGAAAGGCCAATAAGTCCATGTACCAAACAGTAGAATATTTGGCACCTCACACTTTATGAAAAGTATCGTAGTACAGCACATGAAACAGACTGGCAAAGCCTGAGAAGCAGCCTGCATCTTATGTGTCCGTAGAACGAAATGCCGCAGAGCTTACAGAGAGGGCTGCTCTGCTTGTAGAGATGACATAAAGAGAACCTGGTCGTGCACATGGTTCTCTGGGAGGCCTGAGAAGCACAGCAAGGGGCACTTAAGCGATGTCTTTGCTCCTTGACGGGGTGTTATCATGACTGCTGTTGGTGGGGGTGGGGAGGAAGCCTCCCAGGGAATGGAGATCTGTGCTATTTTCACCAGTTCAAAGATAGTTTCCTAGATGCCATTGCAGGTAGGTTTTTTCCTAGGTGAGAGATGGTTCTGTTCCCTCTGGATGAGAGAACATATTGATTAATTGAGATGAGAAAAACAATCCTTTGTTCTCCTCATGACACTTTCTTTTTTTTTTTAAACTTTAAAAGCCTTTCATGGCATGTATTTATCTTACTATTCTGTGAAGTGAGACACACATTACCATAACAGTTCTCCAGATGAAGAAACTAAAGTCCTGAGAAAGTGACTTTAGGTGGCGTAAGCAGCTAGCTGAGAGCTCATGGGCTGTGGACCCTGCTGCTTCCTGCTGCAGCATCCCTGGTGCCTGGTGGCCTGCTGTGTGCCACTGCCCTCAGTGTGCTCAGGGCCCAGGTACCTGCAGTGCCGTTGTAGCTTCCTATGCGGAGTTTGTACAGGCTCCTGCTGTCTTCCACAGAGAACTTGTCGTAATGGGCATAGGCGGCCTCCTGCCCATCCCGCATGTCCACGCGCAGCTCATAACGGCCCTGGGCTGTGATCCTGTGGATGTTGTCCAGCCCTGTGGGGAAGAGCAGAGGCTGTGCTGATCCTGGCCCGGCAGCGTGGGGGATGCAGGGAAGATTGGCTGCATCCCTGAAACAGATACTGAGGGAAGAGGATTGCTTTTGCCCCCCACCCCTTCTCAGGCTATTTTCAAACAGCCTTTGACAGGCTCTGCACTTCCTGCTGCAAAGAGGCTTCCAGATCCGCTGATGAGTGTCACCTCAGACGGCTTGGGTCCTCATCTCTAGTCTTGATCTAGTAACTGACAAACCCTGAGCCTGAGGTTCCCTGGTCCTTGCCCCTGCTACCTTCTGTGCCAAGTCATGGGATGGGTAGGAAACAACAAGTAGCATTGTGGGTGTGAGTCTTAGTGGGAAAAAGCAAGACACAGAAACACTGGAGGAGTTCAGAGCACCCTGACTATGTGGACATCTTAGCATTTCCTAAGAGTCTGCAAAGGAGGTTCTACATCTTTCATTACACTACCTCTCCTGTCTGCCTCTAGTCCTCTTGGGGCTCCCAGAGCCAGGTCAGAGAATATGGATAGTCCCGGGTTTATGGTGATTCAGCTTCTGATCTTCTGACTACACAATGGTGTGAAAGCCATTCACCTTTAGTGGAAACTGCACTTGGAGCTTTGACTTTTGATCTCCTCCTAGGTGGTGATTTGCTGTGTGATGCTCTCTCCTGATGCTGAGCAGAGGCGTGAGCACAGCTGACAGCCAGTTGTGTGGTCACGATGATAAACAACCCCTACTCTACAATGTACTACAAGTACGCTGCTAAGCCGGAAGCTCGGCAGGGAAGGTGTATTAAATACATTTTGTGCTTCAAAAAATTTTCAACTCAGGATAGGTTTATCAGGTTGTAACTCCTGTCATAAGTTGAGGGTCTAATCTGCCTGCCACATCTTGCACTGCTGCCTCTTCAAAGGTCTTCCAGCCAGTGATCCTGCACTCACATGCCCTCTCTTTGGCCTCTAAGCATCCCAGGCTTTGGGCTAACTGATTCTTTAAAGATGGAAACCCTTGCAAGTTTGGAGATTGGGTGGAGCCCAGATGCCCTTTGGTGATATTTTCCCTAATGTTTTCTTGCTCCCTTCCTCTGAGGATCTCTGATTTTTGACCTACTTGCCCAAACTCTGAACCATAGTGATCTCTGAATCTCCCTGATTTCTATCTGCCTACTGAAGTGGGATTCTCTTGCTTCACTGTGACATCTAATATTCATTCTGGTGTGTCATGATTTAGAATCAGAGAATTGCAGAGGTGGGGCAGGGGATGACAGTCACTTAATCCTTTCCTTCCTCCACTCCTTGGGGCAGACCTTGGTCAGTGTCTGCTGTGGGGTTCAAAAGTCTGGCCTTCTTGCTCCAGTAGGCACTGACTTTCAGGAGCAGTTCATGCTCCAGAGCTTCCCCTGGGATGAGAGTGAAGTGAGTCTCCATCCAAAGCTCATTTTGAATAGCTTTTCTGGCTCTATCCTGCCTCTGTTCTCCTTCTCATAGCACCCCATCCTTGTAATAACCCACTGGAACACGAACTCTCCCCATTAAGTAATTGAACAAGAATCTCTGCTCAGAATCTGTTTCTAAGGAACTCAACTTAGGACATAACCCTCAGGTAATAGAAATATCTCCAACCTGAGTACTGCGGCCAAACTACACATCCCTTGGCCTCACCTCTACTCAAAAGCCCTCACTGGTTCTTTATTACACCACCAAGACCTCTCTTTCTGATTTTTAAGTGCCATAACATGCCTTCATTCAATACACTCGATCTCATTTTTCTCCTGAATTGTCCCAGCCCTGTGGCTGGATGGGTTTCCCACCCGCCCCCAGTCTGCATGTGTCGGAAGAATTCCTGCTTTCTCTCCTCCATTCTTCTGACTCATCGCTCAGTGCCTTTCTATGAATTTGCTGTTTTTCCTCTGAATCTCTGTGAACTTTTTAATGTCAGTTCACAGGTTAGCACAATGTTTCCCAGTGTGGGGGAGTCTCAGATGATATCAGAAATGTGCTGGAATAAGGCACTAAATGACCTTGAACACATAGGGAGAAAGATACTTCCAAATTTTACCTCAGTCTTTCTTAGTAGATGAAGAAACGTCCTCTCACATCCTAGCCTCAACTCACAGCCTAAGCTCAGTTTAAGTATTTGTGGTTTGTTTAACACACAGGACTATCTGATCTCCATTTTAACCACTGTCAGCAGCAACAACAATAGGCTGTATTTAGGTGTCATTTAATACTATTAATATTATTTCATTTTATTGTATTTATTTTTGCGGCTTCCTTTTTATGGCATGTGATAACTAGCATTTTTGGCAATGCTAGAAAATTTCCTTAAGAATAGATTTAATTTAGGTGTTTATTAGATAAAAAGCAGTATATAGAAAATTTGAGTGCTTGATAGTTTATATATTTCACAAATATGACACAAACTGTGAAATTGGTACATAGTGGCTTAGGTTTAGGACAGAGGTTTCCATTTGCTATGGATACACTGATTCATGTGCATTTCCCCTACCTTCCACACTGCAATTGCTTTAAAGGTAAACATATATTCCTATTTGTTTGACTCCTCTCTCAATATGTTCATATGGCTTTTACCTGTTATTTTTATTGCCTACACTGGCAAACACAGATTTAGTTTGTAATAGGTACTCAGTAAATTCTTATCATTGCTTGATTGAGATTTGCTCTTTAAGTACTAACCATCCTCCAGGCATTGGAACAGGCGATACAGCTAAAAGAGGAATGTGATGTGGTCCTGGAAGAAGCTTATGTAGTCCAGAGAGAGGAAGTAACATAGGCACTATGACTTGGGCCACAAAAGAGGATGGGGCAATCCTCCCTGGGCAACAGTGAGAGAAATGGTTAGGACAGATTCTCTGAAGGTAGAAAAGTTTAGCTTAGCCCTTGGCTATATGCAGATGGATACTGTGGTAGATAGGGCTGGGGGCTGGTTGAGACAGTGTTCCTTACAGGAACCTCAGGGCTTCTGTGAGTTTGTTTGGAACTTGGTGTTGGGGAGGAGAGGAGGAGGAGCGGGTGAGGTGCTTAGGCTGTAAAGGGAGAGGAGAAAGGTCTTGTATCTTCGCCAAGGTGTTTGGTGTTCACAGTGGTAATGAAGAGTCCTTGAAAGACTTTACAGAGATGATCCACCCTTGCTTAACTACGGGGTGTGAGGGAGATCACTGTAGTGGCTGTGTGGACCGTGTGCCAGCCTGGGAGGCTGGGAGGCCAGTGAAGGACTTGTTAGCTGGGCATCCAGGAGAAGACTGTGAGGCTTGGACTAAATGGTGGCAGGGGAAGTGGAAAGTAGAGCGCAATACATAACATGATTATTTGCTTTTTATTCTGCACCCCCTTCATTAACTGCTATGAAAATATAACCAAGAGGAAGAGGTAGATAATCATACATACACAGCTTTCTGGATTGGTGCCACTGCCACGTGGCTGGCTTGGACATATGTTAACCTTCTCATTCCAGTTCAGTTCTCCATTGAAACCTGCTGTTGTGTCAGACCTCTAGGAAACTGTTAATTGCCTCTAAAGATAACTTGCTTCTCCCCTTTCCTTCTCACACCAGGTAGTAACATTTTCCAGGGAACGGAGCAGAGGTACTGGCTTCCTTTCTCTCTTGACCTGCATGCTGGCTGATTCCTGGCTCTGGAGAGGAGGCCAGCCTGCGCATTACTCCTCACCCCCACTTCCCCTGCCCAGCAGCTCACTGCCTTTGGACCTGCTTCATGTCGAGACCCATCACCATAAGACTATTAATGAGGATGGGAAGAGACAGAGCAAAGAGGAAAACACAACCATAAGATAAAAACAGATCAATAGTGGAGCCCAACAGAGCAAGAGGCACTGAAAGCAATTCACAAACTGTCAACTTCTCAATGGACAGGAGGTTTCTGATAATCTCAGACAAACACAGAAAGGAAAGAGGTGGACCAAAAGCCAGAACTGCACAGCAACGGAAAGCAAAAAGCAGGTGTTACCTAACCAAAACTCATCCTCCAGGTTTCCGAAGCCAATGCGGTAATCAGCCCATTTCCGGAAGAAATCAGTTTGGCCATTCTGACGCCTCTGGAATACCTGTGAAGAGAAGAGGGGAGAATGAGAAGAGGCTGAGAAAAATAAACTGCAATGACTAGAATTGATATAATTGCATTTTATATAGGCAATGACAAAGATTTGCAGATAAGGGCCAGAGCTTGGTATTTGCTCAGCAGCATGGGGAAGGGGTGTTCAGAGCCCGCCTGTGGAAGTGCAGAGGCCCCGATGAACAGGCTGGAGGGTTATGTTGATGCCCACTTGCACTGTTGCAATGTAGAAAGGATTCAGGCTCCATATCAAGCTCCCAAAGAGTCGGGGGAAGTAAGTTGGACTCTCCAATAAATCTTTTGCACCCCAGAGTAGGAAAGCATTTCTCACCAAAAGAATGGGACCAACTTCCAATCATCTAGTCACTGTCATCCTCTTAATGCACACAAAGCAACTGCATATCATTCACATTCTGAGCTGCTTAAGTGCTAATTTCATTTAACCTCCAATACGTCAGCTGTGGTGTGAATTTCCAATTATGCTTTAAGAAGGAGGCACAAATATGTCAGAAACATAGAAGAAAATGTCTCCCCAGAGTGGCTGTTATGAGCACAGCCACCATATAACTCTACTCAGAAACTTCCCATTCTGTAACATGGAAAATCCAGCACTGTGTGTTTTAGCAGTGCTAGAAGAGATGTGCAGGAGACTTGGGGTGCTGGGACTGCATCATGTCCGGGGCCAGGCTGCACTGTGAAACTCCCCTGAGGTGGGGCTTTGAGAGGTGGGGCTGTGCGGCTGCCCATGGCAGGCATGGCAGAAAGGCAGCGACAGCAAGTGGTATCTTTCTTTTCCTGGAAACAGGTGCTCCCTGAAGGTTATGAGAGCTCTAAGGAAGAATCAGGGGCCTGGGGAAAGATGAGGCAAGGGACAGCTCTTGCAGCTAGAGGTGGCTATCCAAGTTCTGCTCCTGAACTACTCCCCTCTGAGAGAAAGAGTCAGTATCTTGCTACAGGGAGGCTCCTCTTGTGCTAAGGCTCCTCCACTGCTTTATTTTAGCTGCTGTCATCAGCAGGCAAGATCAGAGTGGCTTCCATGAGTCACTACTTCTTTCCCAGCACCTTCTTGAAAAAAGAGCAGCGGGGAGGAAGTCATCCTGGACATCTGACTTTGGCCTAGGCCACCTCAACCTTCATATGCTACTTCTTGGCTCTGCTTCACCCCATCTAGGACTGGAGTGCTGCCTCAGGCCTTTGAGGCAATGGGGAATCCCAGGTTGGACATAGACGGGGTGGATTCAAGGATGGCCAGAAGGAGGGTGGAGTTTGATGGGCAGGTGCTGAGGTGTCAGACCGGAACCCTGAAGATGTTTGCGTGTGTGGAAAGCAGCTGCATGTACTTACAATCCAGCCGCCCCCATCCGTGGTCATGTCACAGTATACTTGCAACTTCTGGCTGAGCTCCCCGTTCAGAAAGATGGTGTAAACCCCACTCAGAGTGTCTCCGTTCATCAAATGCTGGGCACAGTCTTGAGGATGAGAGAACACCCGGCCCTCTGCACAAGAAAAGAGGCAATTTCTGGACAACGTCCTTTCCCCCACTGTGCCTAAGAGCGGCTTGGCTCAGAGAAGGCTTTAAAGGGCCTCATAGCTGGTACTTCAGCAAGAACTGTAAGAAATTCTCAATGGATTCAAACAGTGCATGGGTGTGAGAACTCTGTACTTTTTTGTCATGCTCCTCTTCAACTGATGCTGCATTTATTGGACCATGATTTTATGAGATATAAAGATCAAAGTGCCAAATTCATGGTTTGGCTTCTCTACTTAACTGTTTACTTGATTTTAGGTAAATGGCCCGACTTCTCTGAGTATCAGCTTTTTCACCAGTACAATGGGAATAACAAAGATCTCTCCCCTGTAGATGAAGATGTTTTAATATAGCCAGTGACTGGATGGAGACTTTGGAGGTGGTGACAGATGCAAGGGCCAACAAATCAGTGTTGCGTCTACCTTCCAAATGGCAAAAGGCATCTAAATGAAGCTTTCCATCATCTTCACGGCAGCCATTAAGGCATGGCCGAACCACCTCAGCATTAGTGAAAAGATGGATATCTATTCCTTGTGCAAAACAATCTCCTGATTGTACTAAACGATCAAATGGCCATGTTTTACAATTTGGTTTAAGTTTAAAGAGAGGGCAGGGGAAGTAAATTGCAGCTCATCTTTCAGAGAGAACAGCCCAATTTGTAGAACAATATCTAATTAGCTAAAAGGGAAGCTTAAATCATGCATCTTGAAGAGCTTAGCTTTGGGACACATTTTAGTGCTTAGCACATGAGCCAAGAAGCAGAGAGCCCATGAGAAGAAATTTTCTGGACGGCAGGGGTGGATAGAGCAAGTTGAAGGCAGAGCTTGGTGTGTCAGGAGTGGTGGTTGAGTGCAGAGCAAATACAATGATCTGCTGGGCAAATGAAGAGTGTGGCATAGTTGATACGGTTCTGCATGCTTGAATCTTTAACAGTTATGAAATGAGGCAGTAGAGGCGTCCCACATGATAGCCACTACTGCATCCCCTGAAGGCAAAACAAGTGCACTACAGGTGTGATCTAGGCCACTTGGAAGGCCAGGTGGTGGGTCAGAGTGTCATGGTATGTTTCACAAGGAAAATGACACAGTAACTTCACTGAAACACCTGGTCATCTAAGTCCAGGTCCCAGGTCATCAGCGACTATCCGTCCTGTGTTAGGAAGAGGTTGTGGGAATTTGATAGACCTCATGCAAATCTCTCTGAAGCTGGATTCACTCCGGGCACATGGACTGTCCCTTGGCTTGAAGCTCCAGCACTGTTAAGGGGAGCACCCAATTCAGGGGGTTTGGGACAAAGGCACTGCCCACTTCAGAGAGTAACAGTATGTTTCTATAATATTTGGACTATACAAAGTACATTTTTATTTCCACTTAATTCTTGTGAGAAACTTGAAAGGAAGGCAGAGTGGTATAATCAGAGAGTTGAGAAGGAAATTGCTCAAAATGATCATGCGACTTACTCAGATCGCTTGATCTCAAGTTGGCAGACCCCTGGTCACACGTTCTGTGTACTCAACTACAGCAGGAAACGTGGCATACACTTTGGTTACTGGAGGCCTACATCTATCTGCATGGCGGAGAGCTAACTAGTGTGTGTATTTATTTCACAGGCATAGAAAACCCCCAAAAGTTGCCTCCAAAGGTTCTATGCTCAAGTTAAATCTTTACCTTTCAAAACCGACTTAACTAATATAATAGCTGCTACCTTTCATCTCCAGCATGTCTTAGAACTCTTTAAAGTTCTTGATTTTACTTATTCTTAGAGATTACAGTTGCATTTCAGGTGACAGGTGCTAGTGTCCTCTGTCCCCTCTCCCTGTTGGTTTGGAAGCATGGGTACTATTTCCAGGCTATTCTTTTTTTTTTTTTTTATTAGATAGATTGTTGGTATGTACTTCAGGCTGGCTTTGAACTCACTATGTAGCCCTGTTTGGCCTTGAGCTCATGGCCATCCTCTTGGGCTAACCTCCTGAGTGCTGGGATTACAGGCACGAACTGCCACATCTGGCGTCCAGGCTATTCTTGATGTGGTATTGGAGCAATGAGCACATCTGTCTTCTCCCTCATCTCTTCTCTAATTGCCTGAACTTCTCATTTTTAGATCAGCACATAATATTCCTGGCCTTCACTTTGGTCCTACCTTACGGACTAACAGCTTCTTCTCATGAAGGAAAATTTCTTAATTCAATCCCAGGTCAGCTTCTTAAAGGAACTTAAATTTCTGCCCAATCTCTAGTGTGTCTTCAACAAAACATTTCCCCTCAAACTTCAAAACAAAAGCCTCATTCAAATACACCAATAAAACCAAATCAACTTTCAGAACAGGGAAATACATGATCTTATATAAGTTTCTTCACATTGATAATGTTGATTAATATGTTAGGGCTCAAATATATTAATTGTTTTAAAGCTAGACAATACAAAAAATATAATGAACTGAGATGACTTGTCCTGGAGAAGGAAAATTTAAAATACATATGTGAGTAGCTGTCGTATAAAAGAAGACTTTATGCTTCTTTTTATGTCAGAAAGTGGGAATAAAATCAACTTAAGAAAAAAGCGTTGACTACAGGGCATCAACAGTGGCTGGGATAAAGATCACGGATGGTGCCCAGGGAGAGGAAGGACCATGCTTTCTTTCTTCTTAGGCCCTGTGTTAAGCTGGCCGGTGAAGGTGCTTCTCAAATGTGCTTGAGGCTGGTGCACGGTTGCTGGGTGTGCTTGCTGTACCCGTGATAAACTGCAAGACCATCTGTTTGTTTATAGATTTGATTTACTGCAACTGAGTCTGTGGCATTAGCGGAAAGACAATCAAGAAATATTTTGCTTTTATGGACTATAAAGAGCAGCAACCTGGGATTTGCCCATCCTGGGAACTTGGAGAAGATACAACACTTACCATGAAACCACGTGTCTCCCACCTATCCTAGTTTTCAACACTGCCATGTTCTGCTGCATACTCACCAGTCCTGGATCAAAATACTGTTCCTTTTCATCAGATAAGAGAAAGGAGAGGCTTATAATAGTTTGCAGGGCTTTATTAAAATTCAGACTTCTGTGTTCCATTGCAGATCTGTTAAATCAGAACACCAAGGGATAGGCCCCAAGACTCTTACTACAGCGCCTCCAGTGGGTCTGAAGACCTGCTGGATTTGAATTCCTGTATTCGTAGTATACATTTTCTTCTTCTCAGAGAGTCCTCAAAGTAGAAGTGACAAACTAGGTAATGCTCCAAGGAGGCTTGTGGTTTGTGGCCTACTTGTTCTGCCTAGATCCATATGATTGGGTGGATAATTGACTGAATAGCCCCCCACCTCTCTCCCTCTCCTCCCCTCCCTCTTCATCTCCCTCTCCCACTCCTCTCCTTCCTTTTCATCCTCCCTTTCTCTCTTCTGTTCTCTCTCCCTTTCCTTCCCAATCTCTTTCCCAGTAGGTATGTCCCGAGTGGGCTTTTCCCAAGGCTTAGGTTGGATGTGATGGGATAAGAAGTTCTGTTTAAGCTTTGTGTTTCAGTTCTTACCATTGCAGTCTGCTTTGGGGGTTATTGGACTTCGGGCAAGCTAATAATTCTTATTCTGCTGGATCAGTGTGCATGCACTGGGACTTCATGCACTCTGGGAGATCGTTAGGCCCACTTTCAGATTGGATGCACATCGTTTGCTATCACCAGAAATTCATTTTTAACCCTGACCCAGATTATCCCAGTAATATTATCAAAGGCAGAAATTTTAGTTTTGAAGGCAAACCTGGAAGGCTTTTCTCCCCTTTGGTGCAATACAGTGAGCCTGACCTGACAAAAAAGCTTTTTTTCCCTCCCTTCCCTGAGCTGTGGTGATTACCAAGCTCACAGGGAAGCACGTCCAGTGATGGGTACATGGCAGTGTCTCATGGTTAAGTGTTTCTAGCTGTAATTGTGAGATCAACAGGACAGGGGCACTCACCAGAAGAACTGCTCAGAAATTGGTTTGTGTTGAGCATCAGAGGCTGAATGCTGAGTGGAGTGGAGCTATCTGTGAGACACGCAGTGCAATCAGAGGGCTCCCTGCTGCTGGGAGTGGAGGGAGAGGCTCTCTCCGTCCTTGCCCTGCCCTTAGTTGTGTTGTGTGCTTGGGCACAGTCTTTAAATGGTCCGATTTAAAAGCTCAGGAGAGTATCTGCCCGCTGCCCACTTTAACGTCCTCAGTACCAGGACCGAAGCCGTGACATCAGCACTTTTCTCTGAGCACAGCCTCAGCAGGCTTCTCTGTAAGTGACGGACAAAGTGCGGCACTTCACAGAAGTACAGGTGACCTCCTCTGACTACCAGTGCTTTGATTTTTTTCCCCCCAGAAGTAGGTTTGTCGTTGGCTCTCCTTCTGCCTTACGTGTTACAGTTAATGGCCCATGTTTGCAACGTAGCTGGCTAGACTGTTGGGGGCGGTCTGAGTCCATGACAGGGCAAGCTTACACATTCAGCCCATGTGAAACCATCTGAACCTTCTGACAGCATCTTCCAACTCATTTACCTCTTATGTTTATTCTCTTATGTATTCATTCAACAAACATATGAGAAGTATCTCATAGGTTCTAAACACTAGGCTAAGAGCTGTAATTATAAAAAAAATAGTTCCACCTTTCAGGCTGCTCACACTCTGATGGGAGAAGCAGACTAATACAATCTTGAGTTTTAAGTGCCCTGGGACAGAGCTAGACACAGGAGGGTAGCAAAACTTCAATGTGGGCATGCAGTGAAACTGGGGACTGGTAGACAGTGTGAGAAGTGAAGGTCTGAGATGAAGCAGGGCTTGCCAAGTGCTAATCCGACAGGGTTCTTATTTTAGGAACTGATGGTTAGTCACACGGTGGAGAAGGAGGCTCCAGGCCTGTGTAAAAGAACAGCTTATTTGGAAAACTGAAGACTTAGCAGGAGAACAAAGCAAGAATTGGGTTGGTTGGATGCAAGGGACTGAGGGATGCACAGAGTTCATCT